GAACGGGCTGGCCGGCAGGAAGGCCACGAACGCCGAGATGTAGTGGAACTTGTTGCGCTTCAGGTCGGCGAAGGACAGGATGACAAACCGCTGGGCCACGGTGCCGGTCATGGCGCCGGGCTTGCCACTGGCGGCGACAATATCGGCCCAAAGCTGGCAGGGCGGGGAGCGGGGGGAGAGGAGGGGAGGGGGGCGAGAAAGAGTCAGCGACAGGGGGGGGGGGCGGGGGGCGGCAGGAGAGCAGACGGGAAAGACAAACAGAAGAAAACACACCTCCGCGGCCTCGGCCTTGAGGATGGCATTGCGATCGGCGTTCTGGAAGCTCTCGATCAGATTGAACACGTAGAGGGTGCCGCGGCAGGCGACGGACGCACCACGGCCGCTGTGGGCGGGGCGGTTCAAAGCAGGGGGGAGGTGAGAGGAGGGCCGAGCCACCGGGCGGGGGTGGGGGCGGGGGCGGGGGGAGAGAGAGAGAGAGAGAGAGAGAGAGAGAGAGAGAGAAAGCGGGTCGACCACCGGCGACAAGCGGCAAAGGGCCGATCACCGGTGATGGGCAGCAGGTGGCCGATCACCGGCCGGACAGGGGAGCGGCGGAGGAGGCAGCACGCACCTGCTGGTGGGGGAGAGGGAGTGCTCATTGAACACCATCAACGGATCGAGCTCCACAATCGGCGCGCCGGTGGCGGCAGTGGTCGACGCCCGATGCAGCGGGCTGTAGAAGGCGGTGGCCTTGATGGGAGCGTCCGACAGTCGGGCCACGTCGGCCTTGTGCTTGACGAGAGCGTCCCAGAAGCCGTGCTCGATGCGCGGCACGAACGGCGCGAACAGGAGGAGTTTGTCGGCTTCGGACATGGCGGTCTGTGGGTGGCGGGCGGGGGCGGGGGCGGGGGAGGAGGGGGGAGCGGCAGGGAAGGAGAGGGGAGAAAACGGGAGGGAACAGAATGCAAGGAACCTCGCACGGCCAGGGCCTGCTTCGTGGTGGCCGGCTTTCTCATCCACCGGCCGGCGGCGGGGGGCGCGGCCAGCCAGGGCCATGACCGATCAGGCAGCGCGGCCCGGGGAGGGGGAGGCCGGGGCCGGGGAATACATAGACCCTTGCGGGGAAGCGCGGCTCATTGGACTTGGGCCGGCCAGGCCGCCGGGTGGGGACCGCGCCCGGGACTCGATCGTCGGGGGCTAGAATGAGAACGGCCGGGACCACGGCCAGGCCTGATGTGGTGGACGTCGGGCGCCTGGGGGGGGGGGGGGATGTCCCTGACCGCCTGCTGGACCACAAAGGAACAGAGCTGGAACCTGATCGGGAAGGTAGGCGGCGATCGCACAGCGCGCGCCCGGCGCGAGTGCGGAGGGGAAATCACAGCCGCCGGCTTGCCGGGTGCCAGGACGTGAGTATATTCCGGGGAATAAACAAGTGGCCCTTTGTGTTGTCCGCCGTCGTCGCCGGCGGCCCCTTACCGAGGCGAGATCGGTGTGGTGGGTCTCCCGCGCGCGCGCGAGAGAGAGAGACCCTTCTCTCCCCCTGGGGCGGAGCAAGGGGGGGGGAACGGCGAGCTGGCGGGCAGAGCATTCCGCCGGTG